AAAATATTTGAACTGTTTTATGATCCCTTTCCTTCTCCCCTTACATCAAGTCGTCTGCTCAGTGCTGCTGCCTTTTCCTCACTGTCTCCACAGTGAAACCCAGAGGCTAAAAGCAGAGGAGAGCCCGACTCTTCTCCTTGGGTTGGGTAAGCTGAGGTCCCCAGCAGGTGGTCCTCCGCTTGGTCGGTGTGATGAATGCTTCCACTCCTGTTTCAATCTACTTTACCTACTGGCTTAAAACAGCAGTCACCTCTGTGATGACGATGGTTTTCTCTTATCTGGCTTCGTAATCTCTCCCCATTTCTCCTCCAGTCAATTACAAAAATGCAGCTGCTCTTCTGTACAAGTTATTGGGCTGCCTTCTTCATCGTAGCCCCCTCCAGGAGTACTTTATGCAATGTACCTACATCTCTCACAGGTAGTTCTTTCTCTCATCCTTGTGTGGGCAGTGTAGTGTTTTGTTTTTGTTTTATGTGCTGCTCTGTGCTTGTTAGAGAGAGACAAGGTCAAAGAAGTGTACCTTGCACTTGGAGCAGTGGAGGGTTGTGGTAGTCCTTAGTTCCTGTGCAAAGTTGGTCCATACTCTCAGCTCGGCCCCAAGCAGCCCTGTCTTGCACAGAGGTGCTTTACCCTCTCCCCTCTAATATCTTCCTCTGCTACCCCCACAGTACATCCCCCTCTTGGTCTGATGTCTCTTATTCAATTCAAACTCCTTGTCCTTATCAATAAAGTGCTACAGATGCTTGCTCTCACCTAGCTCTGTGCTACCCTTCCCCTACGCTTATGTCTGTTCCCTAAACACAATTTCCTAACTACTTCTCTTCAGCCATCCCTTCATCTCCTGCTCTGATACAGGTCTTCTGCTGTGCTATGCCAAGGACCGTCCCTCAGTCCGTCACTCTTCTCCTTCAAATTCCCCCCCTGGCAATCCCTCTTCCTCTCTTCTCACTCCTGCCCTAACCTGAAATGTTGTCCTGTGTTTATCATAGGCTGGCTTGTCTTCTCTAATTCAAGTTGAGAGGCAGGGAATGTATCTTCACAACTGCTGCCCCCATTTACAAGTAAAAATAGAGAAAACTAGATAAGTGTTTTTACAAAATGATTCCAGCTTGCAAATTCGCTACAAAAATAGTTCATGCCTAAATGAGAGTGGTAACATTAGTTTAAAAGTCACTGGTGGCCCAATTCTCAAGCCCTAATGTATGTCCTGCAGTTGTGTAAGAGCTGAAGGTCAAGGCTAGCACCATTGCCTCGTCACATCTTTCCAGCCACTGGCTCCAAACATAAAGATATACAGACCCCCCGCAGAAGGGCACACGCAAGGGCACTGCTTTTGTGAAACAGGCTTTACACATTTCACCTGATAACTCTATTAACAGCCATGCGGGGAGAAAGAGGAGGAAGATATTCAAGTTCTTGATCCCTCTTAGGGAGCCTGCTAAGTGTATTGATGTGGGTCGGGCAGTGAAATCAGAGATCCTGGAAAAGGAAAGTTTAAAAAGATGCTCAATGGAAGCAAATCTTGCAGTAAGAAATGGGCTAAAATTTAACATCCCAGAGATGTTGTCTCCGGGTGGTTAAAACAATGAGACCTATGGAGTGGTTCTCAAACTAGGGCCGCCGCTTGTTCAGGGAAAGCCCCTGGCAGGCCGGGCTGGTTTGTTTACCTACCACAACCACAGGTTCGGCCAATGGTGGCTCCTACTGGCCGCGGTTCGCCGCTCCAGGCCAATGGGAGCTGCAGGAAGGGCGGCCAGCACGTCCCTCGGCCCGCGCCGCTTCCTGCAGCCCCCCGAACAAGTAGTGGCCCTAGTTTGAGAACCACTGATATATGGGCCCATTACTCTGGCTGTGAGAACAAAAATAGGGCCTGATCGGGGGTTGGAAAACTTCCCTTCTTGTGCAGATATCCCTTTACACTGTGAAGAAGGTATTAAGCCACTTCCATGACATTGTATTCTCCTCCTCATCCCTTAAAGACAGCCCTCCATAAGGCTGTGTGAGCGCACTATCGGCAGCAGGAGAAAGTGGCAGAAATTGGGTGAAGGGAAGAGGTTACTCAGTGTCCTCGACTCTGCAGAGAAAATGGGCAAATGTTGATACAGCCTTAGATTGCATTAACATTTGTGGGTTTTCCCCCTCTTCCATCCACTATGATGGCCCCTTGACTCCAGTGAATGATATAGAGGATGCTGAGAAAAATCTATACACAATGTGCTCTCCAAGGTATTCCAAAGGGAATGTGTCGTTACTGAAGGCTGAAATAGCTTGGTTTTAACATCATAAAATCCCTGCACCACAGGGCATGGCAGTTGCCTTTGGCAATGAAGGGTTAATGTACTGCATGTCTTGCTTCAAGCCAGTGGAACTACTGTAACTCGGTGAATTATATCCAAATAACACACACATTCTCAGATTAGGAATCCCTCCTTCCCCCCAAGCATCTTTGTCTCCTTTCTAATTTCTAGAGAACCAGAATTTCAGTTTTGTGGGAAATTTTATGATTTCCAAATTTGTGTTTGTTCCAGTTTGGAATGAAAAGCAGAGAATTTCTTAATTTCTTGCACAGCAACATTTTTGAAAATCTTGTTTTTGAATCCATTGCAACATTTCATTCATTCAAAATCAAAAATTTCATTTGACTTTTTAATAGTATAAAATTTCAAACTGAAATGAAATGAAATGAAAAATTTAAATGTCCACTTCTGAAAATATCAAAACAGAACTTTCTGACCTAATTGTTTCAAAATGAAATTTCATTGAAACTGACGCCTTCCAACCAGAAGTTTCTATTTTGACAAATGAGCATTTTCCAACAGAAAAATGTTCCTCTTGCAAATTTTCAACGAGCTCTGCTGATTTCCTTAATCTTTGAAGCTGATGTTATTATTTCCATGGCATCTAGAGGACTCATTGAGGATCAGGACCCTTGTGCTAGGTACAGAGTGCAGCTCTTGTCCCTAAATACTTAAAGTCTAATTAAAACAAGACAAACAGGTGTAACCAGAAGAGTGGGACAAATGTAACCATAATAAGGGTGAGTTTCCATAGGGCAGTTACATGCACAGCCAAATGGCTTTGAGATGATTACATTTTAAAATCATTTATCAGATAAATGAGATACATATCAGAAATCACTGTTGGCAGTATGCCTAGGATCTGTCTCTCATATAAATGTGTATAGCTGTCTGTCTTCTAAAGACTTGCCATCTAAATAGACAAGTCAGACAAAGGGTGGGAAGGGAAAAGGGGCAACAGGCAGAACTGGAAATGGAATCCAGGTCCTGTGAATCCCACTCCAGTGCCCCATCCATTAAACCACGCTGCTCTGCAACACTTGTTGGATTCCTTCGAAATAAGGGGTTTTATTCTCCAATGCGATATGTTGCATTGACTTGGCTCCTCAGATTTCATAGCCAGCAGTCACCTTCTTGGATAAAATTTCATTACAATGTCCCAACTTTCTGCCAAGCTGAACGTTCTGGCTGCACTCTATAAAACTGTAACACATACAGTACACTAGGTCAATGATTGCAATTGTGAAATTGTTGTTAACTTTCCCTACTGAAGGTTATCAGCTCTGACAGCATGAACTGATGTCCGGTGAACCATAAGCCTTATTCTGAGAGTACTTATCAGCCGGCTGACTTATCTGCCAAGGCAATTCACAAGCAGTTTGTGAGGAAGAAATAAGACAGCAGCACTGAGGGGGACGCATGAAACTTTAGAGCAATAAAAGAGGTATTAGACAATGCTAACTCATCAGAATAGGCCATGAAATAGGCCATAAAAGAGATGAAAACAATATGAGAGGCTTCATAATGGAAATAACTATAGTATCAGGCAGATATTGATTGGCTCCCAAATCTGTCAGTTTCAAAGCAGTTTCACAGCACTTCTCATCCAAAGATCTCCAAGAGGTCTCACAACATGACTGTGAGGTAGATCTGGAGCATTATCTCATTGTACAGATAAGCAAACTAGGCTACAGAGAAGTAAGTGACTTTCTTGAGATCACAGCAAGCCAGCATCAAATTCCCCAAGAGTTCCAGCTCCCTTCTCCTTGCTCGAGAACCTGCGCTAAGTAAGTGTGCGTAAGTAAGATCCAGCAGCTATTTTACCAAGGCTGTGGTGAATAACTCTGGTACTAAATATCATCTTTGATTATGAATCAGACATGCCCTTTCTTGGTTGTACAGGTACCTGGTATACTTGGTAGCCTATATTTAATAAAATAGAAGGAAGAGGAGGCCCTGCTCAGCAGGATAACAGATATGCCAAACCCGCAAAAAAAATTTTAAAAATGCGGAAATTGGGCTTGGTTTTGCCTTAATTGGCTTGTGAGTTGCTTGTTGTCTAGTTTTTGGCTTATAGATTGTTTGGCTTGTAGCTTGTTGCTTTTTTTGTTTGTTTGTTTGTTTTTTGATTGGCTCCCGGCAAGCAGAGGCAAGGTGGGAGAGAGTCAGGGGTGCACAGTGGGCCCACCGCAGTCCCAGACTGCACGCTGGGGAGATCTCGTCACAGAGCGTTGGGGTTCTTAGGGATTGGCTTGTTTTGGTTTATTAGCTAATGGGATTAGCTTGATTTTTGGTTTATTGTGAAAGTCGGGGTGCTTATTTACCGCATGAAAGTTAGCAACTGTGCAGGATAACACAGTTTCTAATGTTTTACCAACAAACCTGCACAAAATACTCGTTAGTTGTCAGCATGTACTGTTCTAATCTTATCTCAGTGTTCCTGGGCAAAACCATTTTAGGAGTTTGGGGAATAATGTCTGGGGGAATGTCCCAATACTCCAAAGAGGAAAAACAAGAAATTGTTCTTGTGTTACCACTATTATTGAATGTCCAGGGACCAGAGTCCCCACCAGTATTTGCTACTGAAGTAGAACATTAATTACTTCGCCCTTGTATAGTGCCTTCCAGCTGAAAGGCCAAAGGTTTTGGGAACCCCTACTGTAGTCTCTCAATACTGTCTGTGCGGTAAGTAAAGATAATTACCTGAATTCCACAGCATATTCTGATCACAAGCTCATCATATCAGGGACTATATTCTTCTTTTGTGTCTTGTAGAGCACAGAGTCCACTGTCAGTTCTTTAAAAAAAAATTAAATATAGATGAAGAAATGAATAGAGTTGGCTGGAAAAAATGTTTTTTTGGAATTTGCCAATTTATCAAAATTAAACTTTATCATAGGAATGGTTTGATTATGACCGTCATGGGTTCCCCCCGGGGTGCCACCTGGAACTGGGGTACCACTGAGCTCCCCTGACCCACCAACCTTGGCTCCCTTTTACACATTACTGCTGTGACAAGCTGCCAAGCCCTTTCCAGGCTCCAACCTGCACTTTCACCAGCACACTTACAGGTAGGGACACACCCAGTTTCAATACATGCAGACACTCTGACCAGCCCCTGCATGGGAAGGCTCCAACTAGGGCACCTCCCAGTTCCTAAGGCATGCACCCCCTCTGGAGTATAAATCCAAAATTATACCATCTTGTGCACAGGGAACTGTACAGCATAAGCTCATAAAATCCACTCCCTCCATCAATGTGGAGAGGAATATGCAACAGCTTTCTGCCTGAGTTATAACTCCCACACACTGGTTTTAGATAAAGCAAAAACGAGTTTATTAACTGCAAAAGAGAGATTTTAAGTAATTACAAGGGATAGCAAACGGATCAAAGCAGATTACCTAGCAAATACACAAAGAATGCAAACTAAGCATAATATACTACATAGATTGGATATGAATAGCAAATTCTCACCCTAAGTGATGATACAAGCAGGCTGCAGATTCTTAAGGGGCCAGCTGCACTTGCTTACAGCTTGTCCCATTCACAGACTAAAAATCCCTTTAACCTGGGTCCAGCACTTCCCCCAGTTCAGTCTTTCTTCCTTAGGTTTTTCCATGAGTCTTCTTGGGTGCAGGATCAGTGAAGAACCATGATGCTGTCACTCACCTGCCTTATATAGCTTTTGCATATGGCGGGAATCCTTTGTTTCAAAGCTTGGCTCCCACTCCAGTCAGTGGAAAAATACTGACATCCCAAGATGGAGTCCGGCACCAGGTGAACTAGTCACATGTCCCTGTAGTGTCACAGCAGCCATTACTTGGAGACTGTCCTCAGGAAGGCTCCCCAGGTGGGAGATAAGCTTCTCCTAAGGTCTATTATTCTCTCTAATGGCTCATTAACTTGACTTGGCCCTTCCCAGCCAGCTATCTAGACTGAGAGCCTTTTGCCTAGTGGGCATTGCCCAGGAACAGTTACATGTGAAATAGATACATAGTCAATATTCATAACTTTGGAAACAAAAATAATACAGGCATACAAATAGGATAATCGTAATCAGCAAATCATAACCTTTCCAATGACATCTCACATGACTTATCTTGCATAAAATACGTCAGAATTATAGCATAATCCTATCATAATATCGCCGAAGAATATGGGGTGCAGTGGCACAATGACTGTCTTCTGTTGGATCACAGGCAGGTTTCAAAACTGGTTTCCTGCCAGCTTGCCCACTTGGCTGCTCCACAGCCTGCTAAGCACAGGACCATAGAGCTTGGGAGCTGGCACTCCCAGGGCATCCTGGCTCCCTTTCAGCCCTCCAGGAGGGCTACCGAAGATCCAGGGCTTCCAGGTTCCCCGGAACCTCTGGCAGCCTGCCATGGAACCTGGGACCCTGGAACCTCTGGCAGCTGCGGACTGAAACTGACATAATTCCTGTCAGTTTCACTAACCACCACCAATAGCAGCAGTGAAACTGACTAGAACTATGTTAACTTGAGAGATTCAATGAGTCAAATAGTGAAGAGCCAGGAACCTTCCTTTTATTACTCTAGGATTAAAAATTCCTGGACATACGGAGCTGTAGTTCTGCACAAAATGTTTGCATCCCTTACAAATATTATTTGTTTTCACTTTGAATTGAAATATGAATCAAAACTACATTCTCTCCCTCGTCAAGCATTTCTCTCTTGTTGTAGGTGAGACAGTTTTAAAATCTGCTGTATATTTTCTTGCAGGTATTTCTGTAGCAGTGTCCCTCTAGCTTTCAGAATGTATTTGTTGAAAGTAGCATTTGAATTAGTGATGTGTCACCTACCACTGCCTTTGCAAGAGTCATATCCTGCCCCCCAAAAAGTCATAACCAAACTGTCTAGAGAATGTTAATGAATACCGGGCAAGATAAGATCTACCTTGCCTAGCTTATCTTCTCCTATATAATATGAGAACAGGTCTTTGCCAATCCAGGACTCACTCAAACAAGTTCCTTGCTCTTGCTTAGTCAGTTATGTCTTTAGCAATATAGTGCAGGAAAAATTTGGAAAAGAAATAAACAAGACCAAGTTATTTACATAGCAAGCATTAGAAGGGATAAACCAGTAACATACAGTATGTATAGAAAGTATAAAATAATCTGATGTTTATGAATTAGTTTCCTTTACATTAATTATTAGGTTCCACACTAAAGCTGGTTGGGAATTTTTTGTCAAAATGTTTTTCAATTGAAAATGTGATTTCCAAAATAATGAAATTTTCCATGGGGAAAATATTGATTGTTGCTGAATTGTTTTCTAGTTTCTATCATGAAAATGAAAATATAAATGTTTCTTTTTTGGTTGGTTCAAATTACTCTCTGCAGATGCCTCATGCCCACATTTTCCCCTGTGAATTGGGCTCCCTAGACAGACTACAACTCCCAGGGTGCAGTCTGGTTACGTAACTCCCAGGGTGCAGTCTGGTTACATAAATCCCATGATGCACTGCAACAGCTCAGCCAAAGGGAGAGACCACTGTGCATCATGGAAAATGTAGTCAAGCCAGGAAGACTGACCCATAGAGGAGAATGGAAACATGAAGCACCAGAACCACAACTCCATTAGGCACTGCTGAAATAGGAGCAGTGAGGGCAGAATTTAAACTCTGCTGTTTAGATGTAGAATACGGGTCTATAACATAGAATATGAGACTGAAATGTGGCACCGTGGCTCTGATCTTCCTGGGAAAGTTGTTCTGAAAAACTACAAAACTCCAGTGGAAAATGTGCTTGTCCAAAAACAAAAAACACCCCATCAGCACACTAAGTTCCCTCTCATAAAGCAAATGGCAAAGTAGCAAGGTTTGCTAGCTTTAAAAAAATACAATCAGTCATTCTGGAAAAATGTGTGATTTAAAAATGTAGCTGGAACAGAGAAAATATCACAAGGGATGGCAGATCGACTCTACTGATGGCTAGGTATTAAATATTAACTGTTTTCGTAAGACAGGTGGAATTACAAAAGACTTGCCAAACTAGGAATTGCCCAAAATGACTGATTGCATCAAGACATTAAACATCCCCAGGCAAAGAAAACGAGGTACTAGGAAAGGTCAATGATATTCCCTCATAGGGTTTAGTTATTATGATTTGCTATTGAGCTGGTGGTTGAAAAATATTTTTTCAGTATTCATACTTGAAGGTCTTGGTCTGCATTAAACAAAGAGACTTTGAAACATAATTCCCCATAACTGGTGTTTCTGAATGTTAATAGATTTTCAGTATGTTGATTGCAGCATGTTCACACTCTCTCTCTCTGTGTGTGTGTGTGTGTGTGTGTGTGTGTGTGTGTGTGTGTAGACA